ACTCTAAGGCTCATTGAGGATCAGGAGCCGCAAATGAGCCGGATCTGGAGTGATCCAGATCCGCAGATCAGGATCCTTGAGGATCTGGATCGAGGCTTCTGATCCTCAAAAACCCGCAGGTGAGGATCTGGATCGAGCTGCGGATGATCCGCGTTCAGCCCTAGTCCAGCTCAGTTGACAACCTCGTTGAGTGTGGGTGCTTGCAATGAGGGTACACAGATGTGTTGTGTACCCTCATTGTTACGTGACCAAACTCAATTACGCCACAACATCAATGCGTCCACTCTAAGCTCAATCCTCTCAATCAGGGTACACAGAGGTGCTGCATACCCTGATGTTATGTGACAGGACTTGTGTTCCGGAAACGCAACCTGACTGCGTACCCGGAGACATCTTCGAAAAAGCACGCCCTAAGGCCCCCCTAACCCTGATCCCCCACCACTTTGACCCTCTTAAATGCGATCGCAGCAACAGGAGGAGGGTCATCGTCACAAGAAAGCGCGTCTTGAACAGCGCACAGGGAGCGAAGACTTAGGAATAATTGAGATCGACGACGAACCTGTTCCAGTCAATGTGCCCCGCCCTCAGGTTTTGTCGCAGTCACAGCCAGATACTTCTGACCACGGCCATCCTCCCTCGCCTCCACGTCGTTCACCACTGCAGCACCCGCCACCTGGGCTGCGCGATCCCGCTGTGGCACCGGCGACAGCTGACCCTTCCACTGCAGGACCTAAGTCTTCAAGTCGGGTGGACTCTGTTGACATCGTTCAAATTGCTTTACAGCCCCGTGATTCTGGTCCCGCTCCCATCTCGCACACGCTCCCTCCTCTAGCTGTACTTGCAGGACCCCCGCGGCTCGCTAGCGCTGGTGCTGCACCTAGACATTTCGTTCTTGCGGATCCAATGCAATCGCAGATTGTCACCAACGACCGTCCATCTGTCCCCGAAGCTAGTACACCCTTGGACGCTTCAATTGTACCCTTCGACCAAATCGTTGCGGACTTAGGAACACACGCTAATGCGTTTGCAACGTCCGTCAAGCACGCCGCAGTGTACCTCGCTCGCAATACCTCGACGGAGGGGGGAAGACATCAGCAGGTCATGCAGGTGGTTGCTGAGCTCGACCATCGGCTGACGTCCGTGGAAACCACCCAGAGGAGCGTTGACGAGCGTCGGGCGCGCGATGAGGAGATAGCCGAGCTTCGTGAGCAGCTACGTCAAGCGAAGGAAGATGTGGCCGAAGTACGCCAGGAGCTCAAGAAGGAACGCGCCGAATGGTCCCATATTGCGGCTAAGGCACGCGCTCTCGAGGCTCAGCTTGCTCTCCATGTCAAAGCAGAAGACATCGGGAAACTGGTAGAAGCTTAAATATCTCGTTTGATGCCTCCACTGTCTTAAATAGAGAGTCAAATTAGTAGTACATGTATATGCAGCTCCGCGGTGGATGCATCTTCATCTCCCATCAATCTCAACACAAACATGAACATGTACACGAGACCAGAACGACAACGTGAGCATCTTGCGCCCAGAAGGTGACACATTTGAGGCGGGAAGGATGACAGCGACGACAGCGGTGAAACAGAACAGACAAAGCATAACCATAGAAGACTGTAAAGCTTGTGCGGTACATCGCAACGCGGCAAGGGACAGCCGAGAGCAGAACGCGCGACGACTCAATCGAGAAAACGAGAAGCAAAAGCGCAACCGAACGCAGAATCCCTACTCCTCCGCTCGACAGCAGCTCGCGCCGCCACGAACACCGAGCCTCGCAGCACCTTCACCGCATCACCTGCATCCCGACCACCGCCATCTGGTGCCCCACATACGCCGCAGGCGCGTACCCGAACCTCATATCCATGTCCACCTGCCGCCCTCCCTGGCCCCCTCCCCCCAGTCCCAGTCCCAGTCCACCCCCTCCGCCCCTGTCCCCTCCACTCTCCTCTCCGCCCGCGGCAGGCCCACTCCCACTCCCGCTCGGCACCGCGCCGTCCGCAGCGCGCCTCTTCTGCTGCTCCCGCTTCTGCGCGACGCGCCGCATCGCCGCCTTGTCCGCCGCGGAGGGCCCGCCGGCGGCCGTCGCGAGCGAGTGCGACCGCAAGCGCTCCTTGCCCTTCGCCGCGTGCACCACGACCTTGTCTGCGCGGCTCTTGCCCTTGGCCGGCCCCGGGGCCGACAGAGGAGCGGGGGGCGTCCCGTGGGACGCGAAGGAAAAGGAGGTAGACGAGGAGGCAGAGGACGAAGCGCAACTGGAGGGAAGGGCGGCAGACTGCTGGAGAGGGGAGGGGAGGGGGGTGAGCGGCGAGGACGGGACCTGCGCCGTCTCCCTCGTACCAGAGGTCCCCGCGGAGGCTTCGTCGGCCTTCTGCTTCTGCTTCTGCTTGGGTTTCGGCTTGGGCTTGATCGACGTCGGGCTCGCGGATGCCGAAGACGACGCAGCGACAGCGGCGGAAGCAGACGCAGATGCAGACGCAGACGCGAGCGCCTCGACGCGGGCGGCGCGCGCCCCGTGCTTGTGCTGGCCCCGGAATGACTCCTTCGGATACTCGCAGACGAGCCTGCGGCGCGTGCACTGGCTGTCGCGTGCGCGCACATCCGCTTGTCAGCACACACGTACACCACGCTACTCAAAAGTATCAGGGGGCACTCACTTGCAGCACTGCGGCCCCCCCGGCGGCGGGGGCCTGCACATGATCTTGCGCTCCCTGCAGAAGAAGCACGCCATGACCGGCTTCTTCTTCTCGGGCTCCTTGCCCTCGCCGTCGCCGTCGCCGAGCGCCATGTACAGCTTGGACATCGCCTGCACCGCGGCGATCGTCATCGTCAGCGCGGGCGGGGGGATCGCGGACGTCGACGCAGAGGCCGAGGGGACAAGGACGCCCGCGAGGAGCATAGGGAACTGCGGGAAAGGATAGCCGACAACGGGCGGGGGCGAGGGCGCGCGTGCCGGGGCGGGGTTCTTGCGCGGGCGACCGCGGGGGCATTTCTGGGGGGCTTCTCGCTGCTGCTGCTGCTGCTGGACAGGGGAGGGGGCAGGGTCGTTAGGGGGCGAGGGCTGCCCGGCCGCGGCGGAGCCCGAGCCCGAGCTGGACGCTATAGACGACTTCGAGGGGGACGGGGATGAGGACGAGCGCGAGAGGGGTGGGGTGGGGGGCGGAGGGAGCCCATGGGCGGGGGCGAGTCGGTCCTGCGCTTCACCTGTGGGAGGGCGGGGGACGTGAGCGCGCGGGGCTTGGGCTGGGGAGAGATGGGCGTGATCGCGCCCTCGAGAGTGTAGGAGCGCGTCGCGACGGTGAGCGCGGGGAGCACTCTGTGGATGGACGCCTCGGGGTAGGTGTGCATCTCGGGTGCGGACATGGGCGACTCGACGAACATGTTGTCTTCGTATGGTATGGAGTAGTCGGGAATGTGGATGGAGAGGTACGGCGGCTGTGCGTGAGGGGCGTCCATCTGGGGTAGGATACAGATACAGCAGAGAGCGGGACGTACGAGCGAGTCAACACATGCGTGAGCGGCTGATGACCCATTAGAACATACCGTGGATTCCCAGGACTGGCTATGACCAGACACCTGCTGGGGGTACTGCATAGAGTAGCCCTCGTCTGCGCACTCCTCCTTGCAGTCGTGCATCTGCGCGTCGACGGCTTCGTAGGAGTAGCACTGCTGCGCACCGTATGCCATCTGCGAGCTTTCTTGGTGCCACATCTCAGTCTGCTCATCAACGCCGTCCTCGATCTCGACGTCGAAGTCGAAGGGAGGGTGGGGTCGAAGCGCGTGCGCACCGTGATGCGGGGCAGGACTAGGGTTCCAGTGATGCTGGTACGCGGCCTAACGTCATGAAAGGAAGATGCGCGGATCGGCTCGCTAGACGTTGCGAGAAGCGAGAACGAATGCTCACCGTTGCCCTGTCCGCGTGTGGGTATTCGCGAGAGACGGGGGGCGTCAGCGATGATGACGCGAAGCTAGACGCGTGCATAGCGAGCGTCTGGCAGGAACTGGGTTGGAGAAAGACTGTCGCGGTGGTCAGAGACATGTCTTTGTGGGAGAATCGGACAGAGACAAGGGGCGGGTGTACGTACCAGCACGTTGGGAGTAGTGATCGCCGGAGGAGACGGCGTATGATGGCATCTCGCGGGGTGGGAAGGCGAGGTTGTGGCGCAGAGCGCTCTTGGCGGTGGAAGAGCTTGCGGAGGGCGGTGGACGTCGGGGAGCGGTGAGGGGGTGAGGTGTGCGTTGGTCGAAGGGGGCAAGGTCGGGCTCGAGGGGAGGGGGGGGATTGGAAGAGACCAGGGATGTGGGCGGGATGGGAGAGAGGATGGTCGAGGATGGTCTCGGCAGGGCGATTGATGAGGGTGGCAGACGGCAGGAGGGGATGATGGACGATCAGGAGAATCAGGGAAAAGCTCGGTGGAATGGAATGGGGAGGAGGGCGAGCAGGGGGAGAGGACGGGGCAACGCGGGGAGGAGATACTTTAAGTACTCTGTCGCGGGTAGCGAGCAAGACACACGCGTAGCACTCGCCAAGTAGAAGCGAATGCGAAGACAAGCGAGGCAGGTACTAGACCACCCATCTGCCGCCTAACCATCTTCGTCTTCTTACCTCACCCTTATCACCCTTTCCTGCACTCCACCTTCCACCACCCGTCTCCCACCCACTCCGCGCCCTACTCCGCCTATCCTCGCCCGCCACCCCACCGTGTCCGGCCGCGCGCGCGGTATGAAACCCCTCCCTCGCGTCCCTCGCGTCCCATCCCCGCGACGCAGAACCTGCCATCAGGCGCCAAGACACGGTCCTGGTTCCCCGGTGCCTGCCACAAACGTCTACAACAAGGCCTTCTAGAACCGTTGCGATCTCTTCAGGCTGCCACCGCTCGCTTACAATCCTACGGCATCATATTTCGGGCAGGTTGAGTACATGGTACGTGATAGTCGGGTAGATGGAAATAGGTCGCCCGCCGTGATGGGTTGGAGAGCGCGGGGAGAAGAACATGTGGATGGATGGAGGTGTCGCGCGGATGTGTGGTCATGAAAGGCCGTGAAAAATAGAACTCATCGTGATCGCAGCAAAGAAAATAACGCAAAGCAAAGACGAGCAGTAAGAATACAAAGTCCCAAATATGGTCAGCCGAGACACGCAATCGAGCCGCCGCCGACGCCGCCGACCTGCTGCAAGCCAGCCAGACCGATTGACACTGACTTGGCCTCGTGCAGGGCATCAAGCGTATGCTGGATCACGCCAGCCCACCGCTCGAACCACGCAGGCGTCGTGCGAGTTGGATGTCTCTTTGCATGACAGTTACCCGTTTGGCATGGATGGCGCACAGGTTCCTGGGAAAGGGTCGCATCACGTCACAAAGCCTGACGGACAGCGGTGGCTGGAGACGTTACTCACGCGTCTTCGAACATGTGCACGAGGAAGGCCTCCGTCGCCTCTTGCAGCGCCAGAATCGCCGAGCTCTGCCATCGCAAGCCGTTGTCTCCATACTCGACGGTGTCCGTGATCATGTCCAGCGCGATCTCCCGCACCTGTACGCGACGAACGTGGTTAGCACCCGCATGTCAAAGCACCCGCGTGCGCCACAGAGACGGGTGCTACGGGGGAGAAGTCCGCAAGGTGACCGAAGCTTGACGGCTTCTCCCTTCTCCCGGCCGTCGCAACGTGCAAAATGAACAGATCGCTACTCACCACGCGCGAAAACGGCAGCTTGCGGATGAGCAGGTCCGTGCTCTTCTGGTACTTCCTGATCTCGCGCAGGGCGACCGTCCCGGGCCTGAAGCGCTTCCCTGCACGAATGGGAGGGGGGTGGGGTGAGTCGAGCGGGAGGCAGGATAACGTACGTTCAGCACGCGTTCGCTTGTGCAGGAAGTGCCGGAAAAATGCACTCTGTGAATGGAAGACGTACTGCGTGGTGGGTCGCCGCCCTGGCCCCGCCCGCCACCGCTGGCGCGGCGGCCCGCGTTCGAGGGCCCTGCGTCGCTCGGGCCGCGGGCTGGTGGTCGCCCGCCCGTGCTCTTGCGCGCGGTCGCGGTCTGCCTCCGCTTCTCTGCTGGGGGCGGCGACGACGGTGGCGAGTCGTCAGCCGCTTGTCTGCGCTTTCCTCGCTGCACTCTTTGCGCCATTTTCGGGCGGGGTAACGAACGGGATCTGAAGGAAAGTCGTGGGCAGGAACAGCAGTGACCAGGGATATAAGAGAGTGGCAGCGCAAATAAGAGAAAGCGGCCTCGAGCAGCAGAGACGTAGGGGAATCGCCACAGTGAAGGGAACAGCAGCACTTGTGGCAGTGACAACCAGCTCGCGTTTGAGGACGCGTTCGAAAGAGAGCGATGCAGGCGCCCGTGACGCGACGCGGTTGAGATTCTGTAGCGCCCGGCGCTCGTTCGCTCTCGCTCCATCCCGCCGTACCTACTCCCATCATCTCCTCGTACCTCCTCCATCTGATCCCGTTCCTCTTGCTTACTTACTCCTACTCCTTGCTTGCTCATTCCCATCACCTGGACCATGCGTTCGCCGACTGTCATTACTCATGGACTCGACTTCTCGGTAATCCCTGTTACTCGGGCGTCTCGTACGTATCGTATTTATACCCGACCTCGTACTCTCGTTACAGTAGCGTATTCTAGGCAGAATCTCAGTCTTTGAACCTGTCTAGGACCAGCGCTCTGGTGTCGCGTGTCCCCTTCCTAATCCGGATTCGCCCACGCGACATATTTTTGACAGAACTATCGACTCTACTGCTTAACTCTTAAACTCTCGCTGCCGACGACTGGATCTCCCCGAGTCTGATCAACTTGGCTTTCCTCTCTGGCAGCAATACCCCTCTCCTCTCCTCTCTATCTCTCTATCTGTGTCTACACTCTC